TGAAACTGGCCAAACTGTTAAATTATGTAACATGTAATTGTTTGATTTTTTTTTTCCCAACTTTGGAATAATTGGTCTTCAATTGAACAACATATTTGGTACTTAAATTTGATACCATTGAATACTTTGTCGTGAAAACTATAAAATAAAACCAAAGATCATGTTGAATAATGTTATCCAGATGGTAAAAAAAAGTTCATGAAACGGCTAAAGTGATAAGTTATGTAACATGTAATTTTATTTTTTTCCTAACTTTGGATTAATTTTTCTTCAATTTAACAACATATTTGACACTCAAATAAGTTACCATTGAATTTTTTACCATGAAGACTATGGACCAACAACAAAGATCATGTTAAATAATGTAATCAAGGTGGTAAAAAAGTTCTTAAAACGGCCAAAGTGATACGTTATGTAACATGTAACTTTTTTTTTTCCTACTTTGGAATAATATTTTTCAATTTAACAAGATATTTGACACTCAAATTTGTTACCATTAAATTCATTACCATGAAAACTATAAACCAACATCAAAGATCATGTCAAATAATGTTATGAAAGAGGTAAAACACATTCACGAAACGACCAAAGTGATAAGTTATGTAACATGTAACTTTTTTCTTTTTCCCTACTTTGGATTAATTTTATTTCGATTTAACAACATATTTGACACTCAAATTTGTTACCATTTAATTTTTTACCATAAAAACTATAAACTAACACCAAAGATCATGCTAAATATTGTTATCAAAGTGGTAAAAAAAGTTCATGAAATAGTCAAAGTAATAAGTTATGTAACATGTAATTTTCCTATTTTTTTTCCCAACTTTGGATTAATTTTTCTTTAACTTAACAACATATTTGACACTCAAATTTGTTACCATTTAATTCGTTACCGTGAAAACTATAAACCAACACCAAAGATCATGCTAAATAATATTATCAAGGTGATAAAAAAAGTTCATGAAACTGCCAAATTGATGAGTTATGTACCATGTAATTGTTTGATATTTTTTTTCCCTACTTTGGAATAATTGTTCTTCAATTGAAAAAAATATTTGGCACTCAAATTTGATACCATTGAATTCTTTGTCGTGAAAACTATAATCTAACACTAAAGATCATGTTAAATAATGTTATCAAGGTGGTAAAATAAATTCATGAAACAACCAAAGTGACAAGTTATGTAACATGTAATTTTTTTTTCCTAATTTTGGATTATTTCTCTTTAATTTAACAACATATTTGACACTCAAATTGGTTAGCATTGAATTTGTTACCATGAAAATTATGAACCAACAACAACAATCATGCTACATAATGTTATCAAGGTAGTAAAAAAAGTTCTTGAAACGACCAAAGTAATAAGTTATAAAACATGTAACTTTTTTATTTTTTCCCTACTTTGGAATAAGTTTCCTCAATTTAACAAGATGTTTGACACTCAAATTTGTTACCATTGAATTCTTTATCGTGAAAACTATAAACCAACATCAAATATCATGCTAAATAATGTTATCAAATAGGTAAAAAAAGTTCATGAAACAACCAAAGTGATAAGTTATGTAACATGTAATTGTTTTATTTTTTTTTTTCCTACTTTGGAATAATTTTTCTTCAATTTAACAACATATTTGACACTGAAATTTGATACCATTGAATTTGTTACCGTGAAAACTATAAACCAACATCAAAGATCATGCTAAATATTTTTATCAAGTTGGTAAGAAAAGTTCATGAAACGGCCAAAGTGATAAGTTATGTAACATGTAATTTTCTGATTTTTTTTCCTACTTTGGAATAGTTTTTCTTGAATTTAACAGCATATTTGACACTCAAATTTGTTACCATTGAATTCGTTGTCGTGAAAACTATAGACTAACATAAAGATCATGTTAAATAATGTTATGAAGGTGGTAAAAAAAGTTCATAAAACGGTCAATGTAACATGTAATTTTTTTATTTTTTTTCCTAACTTTAGATTAATTTTTCTTTAAATTAACAACATATTTGACACTCAAATTTGTTAGCATTGAATTCTTTACCATGAAAATTATAAACCAACACCAAAGATCAAGCTAAATAATAAGGTGGTAAAAAAAGTTCTTGAAACGGCCAATGATAAATTAACATGTAATTTTTTTATTTTTTCCCTACTTTCGAATAATTTTTCTTCAATTTAACAATATATTTGACACTCAAGTTTGTTATCATTGAATTCGTTACCGTGAAAACTATAAACCAACACTAAGATCATGCTAAATAATATTATCAAAGTGGTAAAAAAAATTCATGAAACGACCAAAGTGATAAGTAATGTAACATGTATTTTTTTTTATTTTTTCCCTACTTTAGATTCATTTTTCTTCAATTTAACAACATATTTAACACTCAAATATTTTACCATTGAATTTGTTATCGTGAAAACTATAAACCAACACCAAAGGTCATGGCTAAATAATGTTATCAAGGTGGTAAAAAAAGTTCATGAAACAGCCAAAGTGATAAGTTATGTAACATGTAATTTTCTGATTTTTTTTCCTACTTTGGATTAATTCTTCTTGATGATGAGATTCCTTTATACCACACACTAACACACATTGCCCTAGGTGACAGTAAAAAGTAATGACCAAGATCAAATCTCCATACATCAATAGTCAATATCAATTCCACCTCACCCTACGGTCCAAGTTACAATACGGAGCTCACTTTTCATGATAAGAATTCTTTATACCACGCCCTGACACACACACTACTCTAGGTGACAGTAAAAGGCAACGACCAAGATCAACTCCATCTCATCTTATAGTCTAAGTCACAACAACTTACTATTCATAATAAGATTTATTTATACCACGCTCTGACACACATTGCCCTAAGTGATAGTAAAAAGTAATGTCCAAGATCAAATGTCCATATATCAATGACCAAGATCAATTTAATCTCATGCTACAGTCCAAGTCACAACACAGAGGTCATTGTACCCTGACTAGGGATGGCAAAACGGGCCAGCAAACCCCATTTTGGTCCGCCCCGTTTTGGTCTACCAAAAGCAGGTGGCGAGGCTGGCCGATATAGTCATGACTGGTCGTAAACCTTGGCCCGCCCCGTCAAGGGCGGGTTGTAGCGCTGACCGCCATAATTTAGAAAAAAATAATTTTTTTTTAAATTTTTTTTAATAAATTTAATAATAAGATTATTATTTGTTTGTCAATAATTCAATATATATATATATATATATTATTTCAATTTAATAATATAAATCAATACATTATTTTAAGAAATTATAATTTAGAACAATAATAAAATTTACATAATAATAAATAATAACAAATATATATATAACGTTAAACTTATAAAATTTATATTTTTTATATTGAAAAATTCAAATACCTATATATTTTTTATTTGATAAAACTTCATATTATTCTTGGTTGAGTAATTCTTACACCTTTAATTCAAGTAATAAGGATAAAAATAATCGAGTACTTAGGATAAATAAGGATAACACGAGAGAAGGTTATATTTCAGGAAGCAGAATATTTTCTGTGAGAATGCAACTTTTTTAATTCTCTTTTTAAAAATTTTAACTTTATATATTATCTTTATAATTAATTTTATTACAATAAAAAATTATTTTTTTATTAATTAGGCGGGCCACGGGCTAGCCCGCCTGTCCCGCGAGTTGGCCTGACGGCTTGGCGGGCTTGGCGAGGCGGGCCAAAGCGAGCTAGTGGGCTGAAAATACCAACCCGCGTCGCCATATTATGGCTGGTCAGGCGAGCCAGCCACGGACCTAGCCCGTTTTGCCATCCCTAACCCTGACACACACTGCCCTAGGTTACAACAAAAAGCAATGGTCAAGATCAAATTTTCATATATCAACGACCAAGATCAACTCCACCTTATTTTATGATCCAAGTCATAACATATAGGATATTGTTCATGATAAGATTCCTCCTGACATACACTATATGAATAATTTTTATTTATTAATATTTTTATTAGATAAATTGAAAAAATATTATATTTATATGTCAAACTAACTAATTACAAGCAATGATTTAAATTTATTTAATTATTTTTATAATTAAAATTATAATATGATAATATAAAATAAAAAATATAATATTTTTTATTTTAATTTTAATATATAAATATTGTTTTTATAACGGATCAACCCGCCACCCACCAAATTTACAAACTAGATGAGATAAATCAAAACAAATTAAATCTACCAACACACTTGACCAATTTTTTAAAGGGTCAATCCATTGGATCTAATCTCTTTTGTCAAGATCCAAAACATTTATAATTTGTGTGGCTTCCTTACTTCTTCTTTTTTTTTTTAATATAGAGTCATTTGAGCTAGAGCATAAGTCCTTCGGTCACAACTTTACCCTTGACTCTTTTTTCTTAAATGTATTTTTGGTCTCGAATAAACTATTTGCTTTTATCTCTAAAAAAAAGTTATGTACTTTCAACCCAGATCATTTTCTATTTTGTGTTTGTTCTATAGTGTTATTTAAATTTTATTTAATTCCTGTGCAAAGCACTACTAAACCGTTATTTTTTTTAACTAAAATCAAAGAAAAAATTCATTAGAAATGACAAAATTGAAAAAATTTATTAGGGACAAAAACAAACTCAATAATATATCACGAACCAAAAACATATTTAAATTAGTTTTAGGTCTCTGCTTTAATCTCCACCTTAGCCATAAATATTAGTAAACAAGTGACAGAATGTTAATGGTTTCTTTCCAAAAGTTTAATCATATGACAAGAAAAATTAACGGAATTAAAACCCAATAGCATGTACACTCCAAAAAGAATAAGAAAATTCAGAGTGATTCTCTAGCGTCTTGAAAATTTCCTAGAGCTTAAATAGTTGAATTTATTGGTGATTATAGTTTCCATTTTGGAATGCAGTGGACAGAAAAAAGAGCATCGATTTCCTAACCTGTACTATAATTGTACAAGTAATCTGCTAAAGCATACTTATTTCCTTGCTCTTTTCAATAGGAAGCGCAAGGAAAACATCCCAAGAGCAAAAGTTTGCCAAAACCATCCTCTTGCATTGGCAGGATCTACCCTTTGAGCCAGGCACCAAGCATAAATGGCCTCAGCAATATGTACAGTTGTAGCCAGAAGAAACACCACCCTTGCCACCCATATTGATCGAAACACAAATAGACAAATAGCTCTGAGAAGGGGCACGATCCCTATGTCAGGCAAGAAAGCACCGCAAAAGAGTGAGATCATTCCGATGACACAGAACAACCACGCGTAGATCGTGGGTCCATCCAGAGTCGCCCTTTTCCTCTGTTGCCAGTAAGATATGGTCAAAGCCATCCCCTCTCGCGGGGTCACCATGGGAACATAACCAATCTCCTCTTTAGCTTTAAGATAAGAGAAATAATGGGTGACCCCAACCTGTTCGAAAAACAGAGATATGGAAGTAGATAATACAGAATCATTCACAAATCATGCATCCAAAAACACGGGTACCAATGTCAAGCATGCAACCTGAGAAGGTTCCAACTATTAGGCTAGCTAGAATTAGAGAAAAAAACTGACTAACTGACTGACCTTGAGTACTTCAGACGGAAGTATGAATGGCTGTGGAAGCCACCACCGATTGAGCCATGGATATAGGAAGGTATAAACAGCCCAGCAAATCCTCCCAAGAAAAAGAGCCCGATCGAGAGGTAGGGAAGTCTTTGGTAGTTCATAATCCAAACTCCTAAGTAGAGGCTGTAGGAATTCAAAAGAATTGACCGGTGAACCTGAAAAAAGAAGACTCACACAGCCAGAAATCAGAATATGTCAGGAGAAACATTAAGAAAGAAAGGAAGGGAAAGGATCATGAACTATTACCATCAGATATAAAGTAGGCCTGGCCAGCAGCTACAGGGCGTTTTCCCTTGCTAGGAGTGTCATCCAAAAGTCCCATACTGGCCAATATAAGACTAAGGACAAGGTTATCCACATAAAGCCAATCTGATTTTACAGTTTGGCCGCCAATTCTGAACAAAAGTAGACCCAACTTTGCCATGGTTACGATCCTAGGAAGGTGCCTGTCTTCGGCCGGTCCATAGATTGCAGCTGGACGAACAGCACAAGTGTAAAGATTTCCGGAGTGGTTCCTTGAGAGGACGAAAAAGTAGTCACTAGCCAGTAAAAAGAGTATACGCGTAGGAGAGAATTCAAATTCAAATATACATACTTGAGAGTGCGGCCATTGTTCTTCAGAACCAACTGCTCAGCAATTGATTTACTACGGCCATACGGATCAACATGTTGATCGATTGGGAAATAAGGCAATGTCTCATTCCCGTTGATGATCTGTTGACCACCGAAGATAACGTTGTAAGTGCTACAGTAGACAAGCCTTTTTACGCCGAGGTCGAGACATGCGTCGAGCACATTGCATGTCCCATTTATGTTGACTTCATCCACACGACCGAACTGGAGCATCTCTTTACCTGACATCCCAAAGGCCGCAAGGTGGAATACACAGTCGGCACCACGGAGGGCCCTTTCCACGTCTTCTTTGCGGCCAACATCCCCTTTGCAAATGGACAAACAAAAAGACAGTTAGGTTTAGATTGTTGAGTTAAATAAATTATTAAACAAGAAAAAATGGAGATTGAAGCTATGCTAACCTTGGATACAGCGGACGCCCTTATCCTGAAGAGCAGCGGACGAAGGAGAGGAGCGGCGGAGGTCAAAGGCTCGCACCTCTCTGGCACCCCTTCGAATGAGCTCCAAGCAGAGAGCAGACCCTACGAATCCGAGTCCACCCGTCACCACGAAGGCCTTCCCCTCTATCCCTTCGTTCTCGCTCAGGTGCATTCTTCTCTTCTCTTCTTCAACTTATCAGATCTCTCCTCTTCAATTCCACCCAGTCACCTAGATTGTCGATTCCTTAGAACCCATTCCCCCAATTCATCGCATTTATAATTTGCATTGGGAAAAGGATTCCCTTTTTTATCTTTTTCTTTTCAATTAATTAAGAGAGAAATAACATAAAACCTGCAAAAAAGAATAAATTAATGCAATGTTCTTGCTGTCAAAATGTTTTAATAACACTTTATACTCATAATTAATTATAATCTTTTATTTAAACATGTAGACTGAAAATTATTTTGTTTCAGTTATCTAATTTATGAAAATATTTCATAGTAGTAAGTAGGTTATTTGTCTAAATTAATTACTCGTTAAAAGTAAAATAAGGTTAAAAAATAATATATTTTAATCTTTATTAAAAAAAAATCTATAAAATAACTTCTTATTTAATAACTTTTACTGTATTCCTTTTTCTTTGTGCTAAGTTTTTATATGAAAAAAATAATTATCTAAAAAGATTTTTTATACCTGAATTAATAAGAGTGAATATTTACGTGAAAAATTACTTAAAGTGAAAACTCTTAAAAGATACCTCAATAATTATCCATGATTTTTAAGATATTTCATTCTTAATATATTGGAGAATATCCTATGCCTCGATTTATTAATGTGTTGATTTAAGCCATGATATTCAAGTATTTGAACATGTATAAAAGTTAAATATATATATATATATATATATATAGATATATAGATATATATATGAGAGAGAGAGAGAGGTTAATGAGTTATTTTTTTTCTAATTTTTTTTTTTACATCTCATTTAATGTGAGAAAATATTTTCATTATATTTTTTAAACATTTAATCAATTTTTATTATTTTAAGAATTCAAATAATTTTGTTTATATATTATCATTATCTCTCTCACTTTTCCACTACATTATGTTTCCTTCATTCTAGTCATCTTTTTTATCTATCATTTTTTCTATATTTTTTCATTTGTGTTGTTTAGCTTCATTTTTGTGTCTTGAAGTGGCGGATCTTGACCATTAATTTTAGGGAGACCAAATAATATATTATTAATAAATAATAAATAAATATAAAATAGTGAAAGAAGAAAAAAGGATGAGAGGATAAAATTGTAAATGTATAAATAAATATATTAAATATGAGGGGACAAAATCATAAATTTTATAAGAGTCGAAGTGATGAGAGGATAAAATTGTAAATATACAAGTAAATATATTAAATGATCATTAAGTTTGGAGGGTCAAAATCATAAATTATATAGAAGTTACAAAACTGTGGGGAGTCACGACCCCCCTCAGCTCTCAAGAAGATTTGTCACTAGTGTCTTGAGCTAGTATTGTGTTCGTTGTAAGATTTTTTTCAATGACCTTGCTTTTTCCTTTATATATTTTAGTAGTGTCTTCTCTCGGTTTATTCTTTACAAAATGTTGCACCCCTTATGGTTGGAGAGTTCAATAAGAGGTGACTCCTCTAATTTTAATAGTATCGAATCTGTTAAATTTTCTTCTGATAAAGTTGAAGTTGTTTCTATTATAAATGATCTGGTGGTTCCAATTATTGTCGAGAGTAATGTTTTGGCTTCCCAAAAGTGTAGGGTTGGTCATACCTCAAGGCCTCTAAGGCCTAAAAACATGATGTAGGGGGTCAAATAGGAGGAAGTATAAGGATAAATTCTTCTATATTTCTAATCTCGAATATTATTGGATACTCAACAAGGATCATCATTATAGGTCTAAATTTACCTTAGTATTGTTTGTAGAAACCTTTTGTCGAGATTTTGATATATGTGAGCGAACTTTTGTTAGATTGATAACTATTGAGCCATGCACTTCATCTAATAGGGTCTATATGAAATTGATCATTAATGGTGACAACTTTACCCTTATGAATGAATATTTATTTAAGGAATTAGATATTCTTCTTCCCTTTACCAATTTAAGTGTCATATGTTGTTTATATTTAGAGTAACTCTTAGTAATTAGGCTTTGTTTGAAGATATTACATATTTTGTTACTTTTTTTTGCAACTAAAACCCTCTGTAAAAAATTATGTATGTTTATCAATTGAAGTACGATGCAAATATTGGTTGGATTTCTCTAAATGGATCCAAACACTATGGATTATTCTCGATCTATATCGAATTTTTAAAAAATTTCAAGACTTAATTTTTTAGAGTAAAATGTAGTGTAAATGATTATACTAAATATTTATTTTATTACCTAGATAACTCTCCCTGCTTCCCATTAGATTGGACTGCTCTAGTTAAGCTTACGTCCTGAGCTAAATATTTGTTATTTACGAAGAACAAGCTTGCTATAACTATAAATTACTTACCTCATCCAATCAACTGTAAAGATTTACTTTTCATTCGTTATGTCGATGATCAAGTATCTCAGTTTAATGATAAGACTATTTATTGGTTTGTAGTTTGTATATTTATGTGAAGTTATAGCTTATGTTTGTTTTTTGTTTATTATCAAATGTTATGGAGAGCTTTCTTTATTATAAAAACATACATGCTAAGTTGAGTGAAACTCGTTTAGACTTAGTTGTTGGGTTGAAGAGGATACTTTATAATCCTATGAATGAGTCTAAGTTGACAACATTTGCTCCTCTTGATTAGGGATGACAAAACGTGTTATTTCATCCCGTTTTGGCCTGCCTCATCTTTAGCCTACCAAAAATGGGACAAGGTAGGCGGACCCACTATAATTATGGTGGGTCTGTCCTATCATAATTTTTTTAAAATTAATTTATTTGTCTCTTTTAAATCAAATTTTTCAATAAGTTTAATAATAACATTATCATTCATTTGTAAAAAATTCAATGTATATATTTTAAGTTAATAATATAAATTGACATATTATGTTAAGAAATTATAAATTAGAACAATCAAATTAAGATAAATTTTATATAATAATAAATAATAACAAATACATGTAAGCAACATCAAAATATATAAAATCTTTATTTTTTATATTGAAAAATTCAAACACATATAAAACAAAAATTACATTATATTTTTTTATTTGATAAAACTTCATGTTGTTTTCCCTTAGTAATTCTCACACCTTCCATTCAAGTAATAAGGATAGGAACAATCAATGCTCAGAATGAACAAGGAGGAGAGAAGAGAGAGGAGTTTGTGCTTGAGAGGAGAGTGTTTCTCATAATAAGTGAGTGAGTGAGAGTGAGACTTTTTTAATTATCTTTTAGCAAATTTTCACCTTACATGTTGTCTTTGTAACTACTTGTGTTATGATAATTTTTTTTTTTATCAATTAAGCGGGTCGCAAGCTGGACTGTCCCACCATATTTATAACGGATCAATCCATCGGGCCATATCCGTTTTATCATCACTACTCTTCATGTGTCGCCTCTGACCATCATTGAGCCATTGTTGAAGTTGTTACTCCATCTTGTGTTATACCTCCTCAATGCAAATTGGTTCAAAGTGCACCATCACCAATCCATGCTTTAATGTTTACACCTCCTTCAACTATACGTTCATCTATACTAAGGTTGTATTCCTTGTGGCACATCAAGATAACTATCGAGAATGTGAAGATGGGTGAGAATTTTCTTCGCCCTTTCTATGTTGATATGCAAAATGTGGTTAGACCCTATGAATTCCTAGATTCAATTGAGGTGATTATTGCCTATATCATGGAAATACTCCACCATTGGAAGGGTACCACTAGTAAGGAGTTGACCAAAGTGAAAGAGTTAGAGAAAAATAATAGTTAAAATGATCAAGCAAAGTTTACACTCCAAAGTCAATTAGTTGATCATGTTAATGCTTTAACGGTAAAGACTAAGCAAAATAGTGAGTTCATAAGAGGCATCAATTAGAAAAGACAAAGTGTTGAAAAAGTCAATCTAAAAAAGTTGGTGGTTGAGCTAAAGGAAGAGAATAAAAGATTGGAAACATCAAGTGGCTAAGGTGAGAGATCAAAAGAAATAAGCAAATGTCACTGCAAGATAAGTTGGATGTGGACCTACATGAAGTGAGACTCAAATGTTAAGCATTTATGAAGTAGGTTTTCAAAAGGTTATGATCCAAGAAATCATGTTATGGTAAGAGGTGGACATTGTTGCTTTAAATATCACAAAGAAAGTTGAAAATGGGGAGTTAGTAGATGATTAATATATATTTGTGAACAATTACCTTTCCTATTTTGTGATGTAATTATATATGACCTACTTTGCTACTATTCACTTTTATATCTTAATCATGTTTACTAAGATAATTTATTCTTAAGTATGTGACTAGTAATAATAAATTGTAGGAAAATAACCATGTGATACCCCAACTATCATAACTAAGAAGAAATTAATATAAAATAAACTAGCATATAAGAAATAATTATGAATTACTTATTTGTTGTATGATCAATAAATAAACTTTAGAGTCAACAAATTACTAACATTTCTAAGTTTAATAACTTTGCTTATTAAAAAAAATGTAGCCTTATTGGAATAAAATGTGGCTAAATAACCTTTATTCTTTACTCACATATCTTCCAAATAACTCTCATTCCCTTGATGCTTGAATTTTATATAGTGAGATCTAGTTGATCATTCATTGAGTTTACAAATGAACAAAATAAAAAATAAATGCGTAAGATATTTTGTATATGACATGTATGCTTGTATAATATAAGGCTTAAATAAGTCAACTTTGATATTAAGCTTAGATGTGCACAAATTTGTTGTAATATATGGACCTTAATATGCTAGTTATTTAAAATTTGAATAGGTTAGGTCTTAATAAGCTGAATTATTTCTTAGATATGAATAGGTCGGTCTTGATCAACTTATATTACTTCATAGACTTGAATATGTCAACCTTAATAGGCTAGATATTATTTGCATTAACAAATCTTACATGTAATTGTAATATGGTTTATGATGAGTAGCATTTCAAGTTTCTAGTATGACTTTCCCTAATAATTCCTCCAATTTATATGTATTG